ATATATATATATATATATATATATATATATATACATATATATAATAAGGCGTGGTGCATTCGTAGAAAATCTTGGATAAGACCATCAAGCTTACGAAAGGGCTACGGACGCTGATTCTTAGAAGGCTGCCTTCAGAAGGCCGTAAGAAATGGTCCAAAAATCGTTCGGTGGGAGTTTGCAGTCGTTCGCAAGGGTCATTGTAACTGCAACATTACTCATTAACACAGGGAAACTGCTGCTTCACTTTTAGCGCCTGTCCATTTCATTTCGTGTATTCATTTTAGGTCCAGTTATATTCGAGAAGTTATAGTTACGACGCGGGAAGTAGTTATGTTAGTACCAGTTCAAACGTTATCTTTTATGTACATTCCTGGGCGAAAGTTCGTCGACAGTCTCCTCCTGGTTTATGCTTTTACACAGCGCCGATAGATGGCACAACAGTCATCGTGGCCAGCGTAAAACACATGGGAAGGGGTGGGGTGGTGGTGATAAAGGGAAGCTATGGGAGGAAAATAAACAGGAAAGGTTGACCTGTTGACAAGAGTTAGAGAGCAAATGGTGGGTATGGTGATATTATCACCATTGTCATCATTATCATCAAAGTTTATTATGAAAATGCGAGAAACAAACTGGTAGGGGTTGTTCTGGTGTCCATCGCTTGTTTCGATGTTTTAATCCCTCTTTCTGTCTCTCTCATTCTCATTCTCGCCCCCCCCCCCTTCTCTCTCTCATATGTAGGGTAAGACAGATGTTGACTGATCCTTGGTCTCCCTATACAGCGTTACTGTATAATCAATCATGTCACTCTACGGACATATCCATCGTGTTTCGTTATCCCTACGTTTATCGTTCATTTTTTATCATTTCGAAAAGTGGTAGGCTTAATTAGGCTTAAGAGCTAAACGCACTCGAATGTTGCTGTATGAGTAAATATTAATAAGAATATGATTTATTTATTACTCGAATTATGAAACGGCTATACAGGAGAAATTAAAGTTTAAAACAGTATTAAAATTGAAATGAAATTGATTCGGTAAAATTAAAAGTAAAAGTAAAGTGAGGCACAATAAAGCAAAAGTTATATGGAGTATAACAGGATGAAATATAATGGAATGCTCTAGTTAAAATGAAATATCCAAGTTAATGAGCTACAAAATAACAAGGTCCTAGAAGAATTCAAAGTGCAGATTTTGTATTTTGTTGAGGGACTAACAAGTTATATAAAAAAACATATTTGACGCCTCTGATGTTTTCTCGTACTTCTAAATAACAAAATGAAACAGAAAACAGAAAACAAGTTATCAGGACTGAAATAAAAGTGAGTCTGTTATTTCAGGCTTCCCCATTCTATATGGTGGTTCTCTCTTGTTGTCCATACCATGTTTTTTTCTTTCCTTTTTTTTGTTTCTTCTTTTGGCGAAGTAACACCGGTACATAGATAAGGAACTTTTACCCCTACGACTGTGTTCAAAAGTCCCAAAAGTCGGGTCACCGTCAAAGCGGCAATATCCAGTTGCTTATAAAGAAATTCACGCCTCCAACCGGGCATCTATATCACGGGCTCTCTCTCCCTTCACGCCAGTCAGATTCGTTTCCTAAGGGGAGACAAGTCGACTCAGTCACTGTTTAAGACTGATATATTAATGAATTGCGTTACTAGTAGACTGAGAAGTTGATAGACTATGCACTAAATGTATTAGACTATTTCACTTTTTTTTCTAATACACTTTAGATAAGGAGAAGGATTAAAATAATGATGAGGATAATATTAATTATGATAATAATAGCAATAATGGTGATAATACTGGCAATGATAACGCAAATATTAATGAAAATAATTATTATGATAGTAATAACAATGGTAGTAATAATAATCACTACAATGACAGCAAAATTAATATTGACAATAAACTGTCCAGCATTGCCATCCAGCCCTCGCCATCGACTCTCTCCTCCCCTTCTTCTTCCCTCCTTTCCCTACCCTTCCCTCCCCCCCCTGCTTATTGCCTCCCTCCCCCTCTCCCTCCTCTACCTCCCCCCCCCCCCACCCCGCTTTCTTTCTCCACCTTTCTTGATCCTATTTTTCTCCAGACACAATCGAACACTGCGCCATCTATGCGGCACTTGCAGAATCACGAGACAATCGGAAACTGTTCGGTGTCCTTTCGATCGTAACTGTACATGCCATTACTTTCATTTCCTTGCTTTGAAATCCAGTAAGGAGCTCTTGAAACGGGGTAATAGCGCAGCCGAGAGCACTGCCAACAAAGAGCGACTGCAAGGGAAGAGTCAATAGAAGCTGATATAAGACACCTTATTTTTTATATCGACTCTCGGACACATTTCGATTATTCTCTTCTCTTTCTTTTCTCCTTCTTCCTCCGTTTGGCTTGTGTGATATCTTTCTTCCTTTCTCTCTTGACTAAGAATGAAAAAAGTAAAACGAAGTGAAACACATTTGTATGCCATTTTAGCGGAAATATTACGATGATGATGCCTT